CATACACACATACATACATACATTCATCATTATAATTTCAAAATTCCTACAAATTCACATAAACCTTTGATTTAAAAAAGTATATTGTAAATGATTCTGTACACTTCGTAACAATTAAAGGGTTTGTATTTTATTTGTATAGACAAATGCATGGTCACATGCACTTGCACATACATACACACATACATATGATGTTGGAGCTATGGAAAACACCGAAGATGATGATGCTATCAATACAACTGCATCTCTCTCAATCTCTCTGCATAATTTCCTCGTGTCATCGCCTCAATACAACCATCGACAACAACAATATCCTTCACTTGCCACTCATTACCACTCGTGGCGTAAACATTGGCGGGATAGGCCGATGCCAACCCACCCCCAACATCCTATGGACACCTCTCCACTCAACCTCTCCATTACTTCACATGATTCTTTCTGCAAGTAATTAAGTTAATAACCACATAGTATATTAGTATTTGATTTTTTTTCCTTTTTGTTGGAGAAATAATAAAACTCCAAATTAAATATAATTACTAAAACTGTGTTTAACTTGTTTAGTTGAATACTTTATACTTGAATTAATGCAATTATTTGAATGTAATTTTAGATTATATAAATGTTTACTTTTAATGTTTAAGTTTTGTTGTAAAATAACTTAAATCAGAGTTTAATTGAATTTTAATATTAATGTTGAGAATTGTAATTAATTTTAAAAATTTTGAATAGTATATATGTAAAATTATAATTTGTTTGCATTTTGATAGTTTAATCATGAGTAAAGAAGCAACAATCAATTCATTCTTCAAGCGAAAAGAAGATGTTGTAAACAAGCGTTAGTTGGATTCCCGTCTCCTAAATTTCTAGCTCTGTCTTCGGTCACCCTTTGCGGGGAAGATGAAGACGAGGGGGGAGGGATCTGGCTCATATTTCGGGAAACATGATCTAAGGGTATATAGGGTCTGTTACTGTATAATATAATACATTTTTTTTGACAAAGAAAAGTAGCGAAAGGGTAAAGACTTAAATATTTCTAAGTTAAGTTAACGGTGTCAGGATGAACCTAAAGTGTAAAAAATGTAAATCATAGGACCCTTTTTTATGGTTCTTTCATCTTAAAGACACAAAGTATTAAATTCCATAAACGAGAGGGATCGACCAAACTAGTATTCACTCTTAAATATAACGTTCGTTTCTATTTCCATTTCGGAGGAACAAATGCAAAAAGCATGAGTCTGAAAGCATATTTTGTAGATTTCTATCCTTAATTTTATCACAAAAAACATAGAAACAATTAATCATCATAATAATTAAAAAACAAGAACTTCATTACAAAAAAACAAAAAACAAAAAACAAACGAATCTTTATTCAAATTCGGGAAGACGTTAAATATCAACAAAATTTGAAGTGTTAAGAAAATATTACTTAATTAAACATTGATATATAATAAATAAATGAAATCTAGTTAAGCAAACATATATTTCGAGCTTATGATAAACAGATCACATGTATGATTATCATGTTAATAACGTATTACCAAATGTTAATGATAATGTTTATGGATTGATATGAATAATATTCCTTAAAGCCTGGAATATATATTGTGTACGGATTGTGGATTTTCCATGCTTCAATTCAACAAAACAATCTAAATACTTTCATCACCTCTTGTTTAAGAGCCATGTCACTCACTAAAAAATGTTTTATTGCTTCTTTAATGTGTCTAGTGATTGTTTCGAATAAGCACTCGAATGATTAGAGGAGACGTGAATCCAGCTCTCCTTAGATTGTGTGAACACACACACACACACAAAAAATTGTACACAAGTGTGACTCTCTTTGATGTAAACCCTTCTCCATCTTCACACCAAAACCACACATGAAAGGTGGACCCATCGGTCCAATGGATGCCAAAAGGGAAACAGTTGCAGCACCTGACCTATGATCAAAGTGTCCCTTGGAGGGAGGTGAGATAAGGCCAGGAAGCTTCAATATTCATGATACGTGTCTTTGAAGATGAAAGAATTAATTAATCATGTTCTTCATCAACCTGTCCAACCAATCACCCATCACGCGATAAACACATGGATAGGGTCCCAGTTAGAATCCAAATAAGAAGCAGCCAACAGTTTCAGTTAGGGATCAAGACTCTCTTTATCAACAGACCCTTTCCCTTTTATAGTATAAAAAACCCTAATTAAGACGTGACTTTCATCAAAGCAGATTGCTAATTAACTACTTTAAATGAACAGCACGTTTGATGAGCTGTTAACATTAAGACCCACCTTAATTTGATAACACTGATTTGATCTCACCAGGTGAAGGCTGTTATACACAAATTAAGCATATTAATTACCTCAAGTTTTCCCTGGGGATCACACTATTGACCTTTTAACGTTTACGAAGTGCCTTATTTGCCAATCAAAAACCCTTTAATATGGATAGGGTTAATTTGGCTTTTTATGAATTCTTACTGGATATACACAATCAGCTTTTTTCATCATGGCCTTGTATTTGTCCTTTACCAAACAATGAACCCACCAGACCTCCCGAAATAGACGGGAACAAATCTTTAATGGTTAAAGCTAGCTAGCTTAACTCCATTCCATGGAATGATACAGAAGATCTAGACAGCCAGATTTTGGCTGACTAATTCACAATTGAAAACACATCAAAAAAATAGTGGTGGGATTCATGTAATTTGTTCCGTAGCTAATGGACAAAAAGTGGTGTCATAAATAGCCTTGCCGACGAATACTGACAACAAACACATCACTATTCTCTGTAGGAGACAACTAGATTCGACCAAATTATCTAAGCTTTTGATCCATACAATAACTTGAGTCTATTTCAGCTTTGAAAATATCTGTTTGCATAGCTGAACTAGTTTGGCTAATACAGACAGAAGTATAGCCATATTATAATGTGAAGCCGGCTGATAAACGAGAAATCATACTACTCTAGGCTTTATAAGTACTTAAACATTAACAAACCAAGTTCATGCATGAACAAGAAAAATCAGCTAAAATAAATTAATGCTATTGGTACCATTTTTCTATTGTATTGTACATTTTTTAAATAATTAACTACAAGTAGAATGTAAACACTTGCAAAAAAGGTAAAGTATTTATGTCACAGAAAAATGTCATGATGCATTTTAATTTATGTCACAGAAAAAGTTGGGAGCGGATTACTGAGGTGACATGTTTTTAGCTAATACAAGTAACGTTTTCATAGCTGAAATGCAACAAATTTTGAAAAGAATGGTTAAAAGCAATAATTTTTTATACATAAAATATTAGAAGTAAAAAATAATTTAAACTAGTAAAAAGCAGAAAGTTACCCTCGAATGTGTGACGATCTATTCATATTATTAAATACAGATCCCACACGATGTAGATGTGTCCTTTTCATTCAATAAAAATGCAAACACATCTTATATATACACGAACTTAATAAAGATCACTAAATAGTCGGTGGGGGTTAACAATATTTTTTAAGTTTGTATAATTTATAGTGTTTGTAGCTGATCAAATCATATAAACAAAGCTTAATTAACACAAATAAACATGAATATTAATATATAAACTAAATGATCACGATATCATATCTATTTTGATTTTAAATTCTCAAGAAAGCCTCTTACTTTTGTTCGGCTTAGACTTTTAACGTTTAGAATTTGTTGGTCTTAAACCCATTTCAATGCACACTTCTAGTCACTCCCACTTCTTACATATCTATACAAGTTTCATGCGTCCAAATACAAGTTCTCAAAATTTACAACACGTTTATGCATAAATACTTGATTAAATTTTAGTTTAAAGCGTACAAATACTTGACAATTGTGCAATACATACCTTCACATATAAAAATAAATGCTTTTCCAACCTCTAAAATGGACACAATAAATAAGTGGTCATTATATTTTTATATTTTTTCAGTTCCATATTTGAATATATAAACATTTTTATAAATAATCCAAAACAATGTTCATATATAAATCATCGAACTCAACAAACGATACATTTCATTTTTTAGAACAAAATTCCCCAATTTAAAAATATATATGGTATACAAAAATAAAGTGCTATGTAAGTATGTATAAATTTAAAAATTAATGTAGCTCAGGAAGAAATAATTGCACTAAATGATTTACTAGATACAATGAACACGAACACGAACACGAACACAAACGCAAGAAAATTCGAAACAAAAAATGATACTTAAAATTGGAATAACATTACTTGGTAATTTATATTGTTTTTAAATCTCAGATTATAACTAACATGGATAAAGAAAGATACCATACGTTAAAGTGAAGAAAATATCTTTCAAAATGTTGAACAAATTTGTCAAAATCATATATAAATTACAAAAATACATCATACAACATACCATACACAATTTTTAATGAACAAGAGTCTTCTGTAATCGGTATAAATGTTAAGAATAACCATTATGTCGAAGGATGAGCATTATAAATCTTGAAGATATCTTCAAACAATTTGGAAACTTGAAAGATTTTTGGTGAATAATTTCGGGGGTAGCAGGGTGTAATGGAGGGAATGTGAAAGGAAAAGTGGATATGGGTTCGGTGAAATAAGGGGGTAGCAAATAGTTGTTGTAAGTAATTTTCGAACTTTTGTGAAACTACATTTAGGGGTTGTTTATCAAATTTTTTATTAAGTTTTGTATGGATAAATTTATTTGTCTGCATAAATTTGTCTGTCTGTATAAATTTTTATATAATTTTTTCTATCTGAATTATAGTCTGGATAACAAAAATGACCAATTTACCGTGAGTATGAACTACAAGTTGTTTAATAAATTGTTGTTCGTTTTTAAGCCAAATGATATGTCTGAAACCAAAAAAAAATTATTAAACATCAAAACATAAATTCATTGATATCATCCAAAAATCAAAACGTAAATTTATAAAATACTTAATAATCCAAGTTCAAACACAAAGTAGCCAGGTTCGAACATCAATACTTGAAATTTAAACATTATTGACCAAACTATTTGCAATTTCATCATACAAAGTAGCCATATATTGAGTGCTATTAGCACCCCATTGGAAAATATCCAATTCTTCTTCTCCATTTCCTTCGACTTCTTCTTCGCTGTTAAATATAGCATCCTCATTAAACTCCATAAACAACTGGTCTTGAATATTATATTTTCTGATAATATTATGTATCGCAAAGCAAGCAATTACCATATTCCTTTGTGTTGTAAACGGAAAGGGAGTCATCTGCTTTAAGATCGAAAATTTCACTTTCAAGACACCATAAGCACATTCAATAACTTTCTTGAGTTGTGCATGCGCATGATTAAACCTTTCCTCTTTAGTCAAAGCACGTCGACATCGAAAATCTGCTAACCAATATTTATGATATGGAGCCAAAAATTCACGAGCATTGGCGTACACAACATCACAAAGATAATATTTATCTGAAAGACCACCCCACATAAATCGTATAATATATAAATAAAAGAGCAAAATACAAATTGAGAATGGTATATACCTTGTGGTGGAAAGGGAAAACCATATATTGGGTTAAAAGCAACTTCCCTAAGTATTCTAGAATCATGCGCTATACCTTCTCATCCTGCCCAAACAAAAGTGAATATCATGTTGAAATCACAAGTTCCTGGAATATTTTGATAGCATCGACCGCCTCCTTTTCCCCTGTAAGCAGTTTGATGACTACCTGACACAATTGCATGTATAAGGGTACCATCTACCACACCTATTGTATCCTTCATTAACAGAAATAGATTATATATATATATATATATATATATATATATATATATATAAACTTTAAAATGTCAATAATAAATCTTACCGGAAATATTCCTCTCAAACGTCTATGATGACTCGACATATTTAAAGTTGTATCAGAAGTTGTTGGCACCACTATTTCTCTTGTGAATTCCATCATACTCAATAAAACTTTATGGAAACAAACATGAACAGTTCTTATAGAGCGTTGAATCTACTTTTAATCACTCTGTAACGCTCGTTATGGCCGATCATCGTAAAAAACATTTTCATTTATCTTCGACATTAACATGTCTACTGTCTTTTACCCAATTTCTTTGTCTAAAATGATTGCATAACAGTGTATATGCTTCACGTGAGAGGCGCATCAACTCTTGACATTGCATACTAAGTCCGCCTAATAGCTCTTGGGTGTACGCATTTCACTCAGTGCTGAAGTATTATCGGGCATTCTTTCTATTCTTTCTGAAACATTTCTCCGTCGTCTTACATATATATATATATATTAGGACTACGATGATCATTTCTTTCTCAAAGTCAACATATTTATTCAAATAAAAAGGCATATCGTAAATCCAAAAAGAAAACATTATAAATCCAAAACCAATGCATAAAACAAACATGTATATCATAAATCCACAACCAATGTTTATCATAAATCCAAAGCCACATACATATCATAAATTGTCACAAAAACATCATATGTTCAAAAAAAATGTGGCACCAAATTGTTATCCAAAAACATCACAAGTTACTAACACAAAAGTCTACTTCACAAGTCATTAAACACCAAAAACATTTTAAAAGCGTGTCACCAATCTTTATTGATATACTTATTTCTCCCCAACTGTTCTCACCCATTCTTTGGCAATTTCGGACGGTATTGTCATCCAAGGTTTTTTATTACGGTTGTCCGTGAGAAGTGAAAAGAAAATATGGTACAAGGGATCATCTTTTTTCCACCCAAGATCGTTCAATATTTTTAAGCATGTGTCATAACTAACTAGCTCGGGGTTCCCATATTTCGACGCCATTGAATCTAAAAACTTTATAAACTTTTCGTCAAGCTCCAACGTGCTTTGAAGTTTTTTTACCCTTTTGTTTTTCAACCGGAGCACGGGATGAACAAGGTGTTGAAGACAGGGAACTTGATCACTTGATACATTAGTCTCTTCCTCAGTGACCACAAAAGGCTCGGTGGTTGGCAAAGGGTATTTTAATGACGGTCCATGGACTCCAATACCCATGGACATACCACCCTCAAATAGTCGTGCACACAAGTCGGGATATGGAAGACTTGTAGTCCTCAAGGATTCAACATGCCTATTGATCTGTGTTAAAGAAACATATATAAATATACAAACAAAATAAAAAAGAATCGAAATACAACAAAATCTAAAATTAGAAAACGACCTCCATTTCCAAATCCTATTCCTAGAGAGTCAAGTTAAAAGTCTTTGTTGAAGAATCATAAACATTTTCGGTTTATTTTTTTTAAATTTAGCCAAGCACTCCATATTTTCCTTTAAAGTAATCAAAATGGTTCCGCATTTGCTTTCAATCGACAACAACAAGGTTGTGTGTTTTTCAAAGTATCGACAACTTTCTTCCACGAAAGTGTCTTCAAGCTAGCACCCTCATTTCCATTCAACCCAACTTTTGGAATACAACTTTCTAAGAAAGTTTTCACAATATTGGGATCCTTCCAACTAATTCTAACCCTTTTTTGTTGTTATGTTTCACATGTTTGTTCCATACCTAAAGCAAAGACAAGATGAAGTAGTCTATAACGAACATTCGAGCTATTAAACAAGGAAAAGACATGGTAACATTCTATAACAAACAAACAAACAAACAAACAAACAAACCAACAAAAGAAATCAAACATCAAGTAAGATCAAACAACAAGTAATCAAACAAGATCTAACAAGTATAAAACAAGGAAAAGACATGATAACATTCGATTTTGAAGAATCTGTGAAATATTCAAACAACAAAAAATCGATTGAATAATCAAACAGCGAGAAATCAAACAACAATCAAACTAGAAAAAAATTCAAACAACAGACTTGAATTTGAGCAAATAATCAAACACCATCTGAATAACCATCGAACTAGGAAAAAGCAAACAACAAGAATCGAACAACAATCCAACAACAAGAAGCTAACAACTAGCAATCGAACAACAAAAATCAAAGAGCAAGAATCGAACAACTAGAAATCGAAAAACAATCGAACAGAAAAAATCAAATAGGAAGAATCGAACAACTAGAAATCGAACCTGGAGTGAAGAACGTGGAGTGAAGAACGTGGAGTGAAGAACTAGAAATCGAACCTGGAGTGAAGAACCTAGAGTGAAGAATCGAACAACTAGAAATCGACCTTTAGAGAGATAATAATTTGTGAAGATCATAGAAGATGTGCTTCCAAATCAATTGGACACCACCTTTATGTTCAAAGACCTTGCTTTTGGTGTGGTATGTAAATAATACGAGACAACTCGTGAGTTACTCGAGATCGATTCGATTAAAGCTCGGTCAACACTCGACTCGAATAGGCTTGACTCGAGCTCGACTCGACATATTAACGAGTCGAGTCAAGCTACCTAATACTCGACTCGAAAAGCTCGTGAAATATTAGATTATTTTTATATATAATTAGTTTTAAAATATAATATGTTTTTATAATTAAATTTGTAAAATATAAATAATAAAAATGTCTTATACTTTTAGATATTTAAACAAAATTATGCATTTTTAACTATAAAAATTAATCAATTATTTTTTTATTAAAATCACAATTAAAAAAACACAAAGAAAAACAATAAGATGAGTTAGTGAAATTGTCTCACATTGTAAGAGAGATGGTAGAGGAAGGGAAAAAAGATGTTATAAAAAAGAGAGAGGTGAATGAAATTTCAAACTTTATTTTTTTTATGATGAAGTTTTAAGTTGATCCCTTTAGTTTTATAAAAACTAAAATAACACCTTTAAGTTTTAAAATTTATAAGAAAAAGACCCTAAAATTTCATAAATTTCAATGAGTGAGCTTGATTCGAGTTTGAGAAATAGTTACTGAGTTCAAGTCGAGTTTTGATTTTTACAACTCGTGAGTATTCGAGTCGAATTCGAATTTGGAAATTGGGTTTTGAGTTCGAGTCGATAGTGATACTAAAGCTCGACTCGTATCATTTACATCTTTATCGTCGATCCATAGAGAGGATCTACATTGGTCACTTGTATCATAGGTCAGAAACTAACGAAAAGCTAGTGGATTTCTATCCTACATGATCAACTAGAGTGCATAAAGGTATGAGATTTAAGCACCCTCTTGATTTTGTTGTTTTCACCGTTTGTATGTAATGATCCTCGTTGGACGAAGAATAAAAGGTAAAAAAAAATAGGAAGATGAAGCTCTAGAAAATATTGCAACAGGAGCTCAAGGAACATGGTTATTGCCCAACAGATTATAATTCTCTAGCAACTATAGAAGCATATTACAAGTTGGCTTTTAATCAAAAGATAGCATCGATTGCAACCATCAAATTTGTAAATAATACAAAATTAGCATCCGATTCAATACTTAGAAGAAAAATTCTTAATATTTGTCTTGTAATGTTCATATCCGATATACAACATTTATCAGATCTGATACAAGTGTATTAACATCCGAACCGTGCACAAAAATAGAATTGATTGGCTCAAGGTTCTAGATCTTAGACACCATGGGGTCTATAACTTAAATAATACGTGACATTAAATCTCATATTTTGACTATTCTCCGTCCATACCGATCAATCCGATTGATACATGGTCAATCAATCTTGATTCTCAAGAACCCACAAAATTATTTTAAGTTATTTTAGCATTCGATGTTCCAACTTTGTAATTAGTTTATCGCTGGAATCTGATCTATACTTCAATTTTGAGAATAGAAAAGATAAGATTTTTCATTATAAAAGTATTGTAACTATCTATACTATCTTATTAAGCAAATTTAGTAAAGTCTTAAAATATTAAATGACCAAGATACCATTTATACTCACTTTTTCACCCTCTCCTCTCCTCACATACACTCAACATCTCACAACCGATTTTTTTAAATTATAATTTTAAATTTACATTTTATACCCCTATAATTAGTTAAGTAATTTACTTTATGTCCTTTACTTTTAAATGTTTCATTTTAAACCTTTATCAAATTAACATACATAATCGTATATCAATTAAAACATGTTTAAAAAATACATTTTTATTTTAACAAGTTACACTATTATAATCGTCTCGTTAATACATTCGAAAATGAGTCCAATATTAGATAGTTTTTGACTTAATTATATTATTATATATTATATATAATGTGAAAAAATATTTTTAATATTTACGATTTATACTTTTATAGTTATTTATTTATATATATACTATATATTTTGGGGTTAGGCTGTCCAAATTGCATTGTATAATATGTTCTGAATTAATATGTTCTTGTGTTTTTTTGAAATACATATATACATGTATTAATTCAACTTTAATCTGAGTTTCTGGACAAGAAAGAGGGTAAGCAGTTGAAATTTCATTCTAAAACCCATTTTTTTGGTCTTTTCATGGCTTATGATTTGTCAAATTTGTAGTTTTCTTTATTGGTTTTGAGTGTTTATCTTAAAACTCAGGTTTCTTGATTCTTTGCTCTTGGTGTAAATCGAACATATTTGTGGAGTCGTTTAAATATGTTGGATTTTAAATATATTGGATTTTAAACTGTCATACAATTTTTTTAATCGATAGTCTGTAATTGGAACCATAACTCTTATTTATTCAAATTGTATTAATATGTAAAGACCAGGTGTAACCTATATCATCGTTAAAGCTTATCTTATAAAACCAGTGGAACTTCAAAATCGTTAAAATTCATGGCTCCTGCCGCATTGCACGGGTACACAACTAGTTTGTATTAATCTAATAACAAAAAACCTTCAACAAAATCATAGACTAGTTAAAGTGAGGTCAAGATCGTCATCAAAGCGGATTGGTTTGTCATCTAGCCGAATGAAAATCAATACAAGATAGAAATCAGATAATGGTCTTACAAATACTACTACTGAAAAGCCGGATTTTGGAGTGCAAACTTGTCCAACAAGTTTGGTTCACCAACTCTACCAACACCTATCCTAGTATGGTAACATACTTAGCATGTCAGTCAAAATAAGTTCTAAAATACTATTTAATAGTATCATATTTTCTTTACTGTTCATTCTGCATGCAGGATGACGGATAATTAACAAGTGTCTACATCAACTTCACGGATTGAAATGAAGAATAGAAGCATGCATGGATCAACAAATCAGATCATGACACGTGTTAAAGTTAATTGGTAGACAACATTTAATGCAATGGTGGCTATAAAAGGTTATCCTTGTCAAATATTGCAACTCACCAGTTTTGAAAAAACTTTTGAGTAATAGTTTCTTAGTCAAAATTGGTGTCACTATCGAATATAAGTATTTCAGACTTGAAAGAGTATCTTATTCTTTCATTCTTTCAGTTAATAGCAGATTTGTCACGAGTTAGATTCTTTGGGATTATCAGGTCTTATCTTACTAGCTTCATCAACAAATTTATAACTCTTCATTTTAATGCATAATATAGAATTAAAAGCTAAAACTTATTATGTTTATATTCAATCTCCCATTTAACAAACACATCATCATGTGTAAGTGATGACATTCCATTACAAAATTTCTCACGACTAAGCTTTGCAAGATTATGGCCCACATCAGGGACTGAGAAAGTTTTTGATAAATCAAGCTGAATGAACCAAATTGGTGATTCAGCATGGCTACATAAAAAGGTTTCATGATATCATAAGTTGGCATTTCACCAAAGAACAAATCCTACTAACATGATATATATATATATATATATATATATATATATATATATATATATAGCTTGGTTCAAATACTAACCACGATTTTTGTGTTAACTTTGTTAACCAATCTTGGTCATCGATTATTACAATAAAAGGTTGTGATTAATCATGATAAAAAATTAAATTTTTAAATTTATAATTTCAAAGAACATATGTGAACAAAGGGGAAAAATGTATTTAGTTAATTTTCTTTTTTATGTAACTCCCATATCATTAATTGGGAGTTACAAAATAAAAAAATCTCATTATTTTTATTAATTTTTTTTTGTTAATGTAAGAACCATATGAACACATACATACACACACACACACATATATATATATATATATATGTGTGTGTGTGTGTGTGTGTGTGAACCATTGTGTCAAATACGAACAAAAATTGACATATATATATATGAACTTGGATTGTATAGCATTTATTAACACAATATGAATATAATAAAAATAGTTGTTACATGAAAGTAAATAAATAAAAAAAAACAAGTATGAACACAATATGATCAGTTTGTGAACAATAGTTCCTTCAATATGAACACAATTAGAAGCAAGTCAATGTTAAGATATGCAGCTAGTGTACATATAAACACAATATGAACAGTTTATGAACAATAGTTCATTTATTATGAACACATTCAAGAGCAAGCTAATGTTGAGATATGCAGCTAGTGTACATATGAACACAATATGAACACTTGTGAACACTTCTTTAACAAATACATATGAATTTGAATTTCGATTGTAGTCGTAGACGATTTTAACCTTTTCATTCTCATTTTTGTCGATCTGTTTTCCAATAGGTTTATCCATATTATTCGGACGATATCGAAATCTTTACAATCGGATATTCTTTAACAATTACAAAATCAATATCATTATGGATAGAATAAATCGAAATTACAAAACATGAACACATATAAAAAAAATATCAATATTACATAATCATCAATTATTGAGATTTTTAGATTTGTAACTCCCAATTAATGATTTGGGAGTTACATAAATGACAAATTACTTAATTACCCTTGTAATTAATATATGAGTTATATGTGAACCTAAAGAAAAGATGAAATATGATTGGTTGAGCTTGGTTAACAAAGTTAATACAAAAATCCTGGTTAGTATTTGAACTAACCTCTATATAGATAGATATATATAGCTTGGTTCAAATACTAACCAAGAAATTTTTGTTAATTATACTAACCAAGCTTAACCAATCATATTTCATCTTTTATTTATGTTCAAATGTAACTCATATATTAAATACAAGGGTAATTAGGTAATTTCACATTTATGTAACTCCCTAATAATTAATTGGGAGTTACAAATCTTAAAGATCTCACTAATTGATCATGATGTAATATTGAATTTTATTTTCATACGTGTTCATGATCATAGTTTACAAATGATGTTCTACATATAATGATATTGTTTTCGTAAGTGTAAAAGATTTCCGTATCGTCCGAGTAATATGGATAATCCTATTGTAAAACAGATTGACAACAATGGAAATGACAAAATCATCTACGACTACATTCGCAATTCGAATTCCGATAATGAAGAAAATGATCAAAGCGTTCCTATTGGTAAGTGATTAGTATGACATTTGAATTCGTTTAAATGAACACATATCAAAGGCAATAGATGTTCATATCGATACATATGTACAATTACATCACATGAATATGAACAATATATGTGATTCATGTGAACAGAAGCTTCGTAGGTGTTCATGTACATACAACAGAGTTGGCTCCTGAATATACARAAGATGTTCATACGGTTCACATGTTGTTCATATGTCTAATCTTTTTTGTTTAATGTGGTTTGAAGATGTACACAAGTTGTTCATATGTCTGACAATTCGTATATTAAAGATAGTTACTTTTTACCTAAATACCTTTTGATATTTTGTTCACATATGTTAATTGAAAATATTATAATTAATTTTTAAATATCATTAAATCACAACCGTTTATTATTCAAATTAATGGCCAAGATCGGTTAACAAAGTTAACATGATAATCTTGGTTAGCATTTGAGCAGTCTCTATATATTATACCAAGTAACACACCCATGTTCATTTGTGCTCGAAAAGTAATATCAACAATATTGAAAATTATGCATGTTACTATTATTACTATATTCTACTTTTCAAAATGTTTAAGATGGGTGACAATTTGAAAAAGAAAATGAAGAAAATAAAATAGCTAACAAGTTATACTGTTTTCTACTTTTCTTGAATCCCAAAGCAAAACAATTACACGCAGTGACGGATCCAAAAAATTGATGGGATGGGGGCATGTTGGATGGGACTTGGAGGAGGCAAGCATATGGCCATATGGGACTAAGGGAAAACAATGTAAGACAAGGATAAAAATAGAAAATTTAAGCTAGTCAAGAAATGTTTTTGGTCTTTGACGGGAGGAAAGGCCCCAGTTCTTAAGGGCTAGATCCTCTTTTGTTTACACACTCCAAATAAACTTGAAGATTTTGCCATGACAATAAATTAGACAGACTAAATTCAATCCATTTTAGAATTTTTTTAATTAGAATCATGCAAATGCATGGTGCCTCAACTAAAGGAATGGACTATTCAAAAAATTTAGGACTTGTATGATTCATTTAAAAAATGTTCCATATAATCCTGTTTGCTAGTTTGACAAAATGGTTTAAAGAAAAGTAATCGATGATTCCAATATGTAAAGTCTACAGGTTATTTTAGAAAAAAGTTGTGTAATAGAACATCGATACAGATTCTTTATTAATCAGATTTATCCATTGAAGAAAAAAATAAACACCCAGAACTACACCTGTAAACCAAGTTAATTCGCGAGGTTTTTTAAATCCACCGATGAGATAAGATTTCGGTTACGAGACGATGGTTCAATCTATGATTTATCATTCATGGACGTGGATAAGATCCATCATTTAGCATCACCTTGGAATGGCATAGCCTTAAATCAATAAAGACCAAATATTAACTCAACTTTTAATAACTCCATTGTAGAGGATGGATAAAATACACTAGGCGATAAACAAATTAATTAAAATGGGGGAATTGAAAGGGCTTTGATATATCGCCCCATAAGAACAGTCAGCATCAAGTGATGGTGACACTTGAGAGTGGATATTTCCATCCAAGGGGATCTAGTAAGGAGTGAGGCTTGTCCGATACATCTATTCGCTCGATTATTGTAAGGGAAAAAATAAAACATTGTGAAAATACACCCGTTTAATTATAACGATGGTCTTAAAAGTTCGTAAATTTAAACTTACGACAAGGATTTCAATCGGGTGAGTTGGTTATTTGTGCCTCTCAAAAATTTGCCTCTCGTAAGAAAGCACAAGTTTAAATCTTTTTCAAAAGTTCAATATTGATTTCATTTGGAAAATGTATTATATTCCTTAAATTGACACAAACTTTTTACGGGTCAATTGGCTTTGACTTCCCCCCCCCCCCCC